ACCCACGCCCACCCTACAACCAAAATTTTGTTGTGGCTGCTCCTGTTCCCTACCAGCAACGAGTACTAGCACCCATACCGCTAATTCCGCTTCCAGAAACTGCGCCTTCAGCTAAAACAACCCAACGAGATACATCTGCGAATCATTCAGTTTTTGCCCATCTCCAGAAAAAAGCTAAAGGTAAGTGAATGAGTTAGGTGGCACCAATCACAAATGTCTTTGTAGTACTTCGGCGCTGTCACGATTTGACTCAATTTCTGAACCACAATCCGCGTCCGACTTGTTTGGCTAAGTCCTTGCCGAAATTGTCTACGTCGCCGAGGTACCAGTCGCCGGTGAAGACAGCGCTGGATCTGTCGTTCAAGTTTACGTCACCGCCGGAGCAACCTGTCAAGGATACCTACGCAGAGGCGCTCCACAAGGTTGTGGAACAAGCCGGAATAGTGAAGGAAGTTGGTGTCAAGAGAGACAAAGTCGTGGATAAAGTTACCGAAGTCCTGGAAACGCTGAAGAAGGCCTTGTCTGCCGCAGTGCAGAAGGAATGAATTGTGCCATAAAACTTAGTCAATTCAAATTTTTTAATGTCTATAATTTTCTACGTACTTAGTTCTATCCAACTAAAGACTCATTTTTTGAAAATCTATCATTTTCTACGTACTTAGTTTTATCCAACTAAAGACTTATTTTGTTTTTTGTAAATAGTTTGATTCCTATATGAATGTTATATTATTTTTGTATACCGTATTGTTAATTCTATTGAAAATACATTATTATTTTTATCCCTTTTATTGTCTACCAACCTACAGAACGAATCCAAAATTGAAAATATCGATGAATTGAGAAACCCAGACTTTTAGAATTTCCAAAAACTGAAATGTTGGAAAATTGAGAAATCAAATAAAGAAATTGTAAAACTGAAAAAGTGAATAATCAAAAAATGTACAATTTAAAAAATCAAAAAATTCAAAAATGGAAATATGGAAGAATTGAAAAATCGAAAAAACGAGAAATCGAGAAACCGAAATAAAAAAATCGGAAATCGATATGTCAAAAATTCTAAAAAGTGAAAAATTTTAAATTAAAAATCCCAAAATTGAAAAAAAGGAAAATCGACAAATCGAGAAGTTCAAAAATCGAAAAATTGATAATTCGAAATTGTCCAAAATCGAAAACTCCGAAATCGAAACGTCAAAAATTCTAAAAAGTGAAAAATTTTAAATTAAAAATCCCAAAATTGAAAAAAAGGAAAATCGACAAATCGAGAAGTTCAAAAATCGAAAAATTGATAATTCGAAATTGTCCAAAATCGAAAACTCCGAAATCGAAACGTCAAAAAATCTAAAAAGCGAAAAATTTTAAATTAAAAATCCCAAAATTAAAAAAAAAAAGAAAATCGACAAATCGAGAAGTTCAAAAATCGAAAAATTGAGAATTCGAAATTGTCCAAAATCGAAAACTCCGAAAATTATTTAAAATTAAAAAAATCGAGAAATCGAAACATCAAAAAACTGAAAAATGTAAAATTTAAAAAATTTAATTCAAGAATCAAAAACTGAAAATTTAAAATATTGAAAATTCCAAAAATTAAATGAGGAAAAACTGGGAAATCGAAGAGCCGAAAAAGTCGAACATTTAAAAAATCTACAAATCGAAAAATTCAAAAATCGAGGAATGAAGCGTCAAAAAATCTAAAAATAGGAAAATTATCATCAAATAATCGAGAAATCGACAAGTCAGGAAGTTCAAAAATCGAAAAACTAAAGAGTTCAAAATTACTCAAAATGGAAAAATCTAAAAGTTATTAATAATAAAAAAATCTAGAAACTGAGCAATCAAAGGTAAACATATTAAGAAAAAAAAAGGCAAAATGTAGCCCCGCCCACCCGCCCTACCTCAATTGTGAAGTTTTTTTTTATTTGTCGTACGCCAAGAAGGCGGAGCTTAATTGCAAAATTCTTATTGTTTCTGTACAAGAAATTACCATACACTATTTACGCGAACCGTGTAACTAAAAAGTCGAAAAATCAATAATTTTTTAATATCGATGAATGGAATAACCGAAAAAGCGAAGTCCGAAAAATCCACAGAATCGAAATATCAAATAATCCAAAAATGAAAATATCGATAAACTGAAAACCCAGACTTTTAGAATTTCCAAAAACTAAAATGTTGGAAAATTGAGAAATCGAATAAAGAAATTGTAAAACTGAAAGAGTGAATAATCAAAAAATGTAGAATTTAAAAAATCAAAAAAAATCGAGAACCCGAAATTAAGAAATTGAAAAGTCGAAGATCGAAACGTCAAAAAATCTAAAAATTGAAAAAAAAGGAAAATCAAAAAGTCGAACAATTGACAAATCGCGAAGTTCAAAATTCGCAATTGTCCAAAATCGATAAATCCAAAAACTGAACAATCGAAAAATTGGAAAACCGAGAAGTCGAAAAATCGAAACATTAAAAAACTGAAAAATGTAAAATTAAAAAAATTTAATTAAAGAATCAAAAACTGAAAATTTGAAATACTGAAAAATGTAGAAACTGAAAAATTCCAAAAATTAAATGAGGGAAAATTGGGAAATCGAAGAGGCGAAAAAGTTCAACATTTAAAAAATCTGCAAATCAAAACATCGAAAAATACAAAAATCGGGGGATTGAAACGTCAGAAAATGTAAAAATAGAAGAATTTTAAATGAAAAATCGAAATGTCGAACAATCGAGACGTCGAAAAGTCAGGAAGTTCAAAAATCGAAAATCTGAGAATTCAAAATTACTCAAAATCGAAAAATCTAAAAGTTATTTATAATAAAAAAAACAAATCTAGAAACTGAACAATCAAAAAATTAAAAGCCGAAAAAGTCGAACAACTGAAAAATCTAGAAATCGAAACATTAAAAAATTTAAAACTGAAACATTGCGGAATGAAACATCAAAAATCGAGTACTGGAAACATCAAAAAGTTGAAAATTGAAAGATTTAAATCTAAAAAAAATCGATAAATCTGAAAATTGAACAAAAATCGAGTAAATCGAAAAGTCCAAAGATCGATAAATCAAAAGATTTAAAAAAATTGAAAATACGGTAAACTGAAGAATCGAAAAACTGAAAAATTCCAAAAATAAAATGAGGAAAAATTCAAAAATTGAAAAATCGGAGCATCAAAAAATTGGAAGATCCAAAAATCGAAAACGAAAAAGTCGAACAATTGAAAAATCTAGAAATCGAAAAATTCAAAAGTCGAGGGATTGATGCGTCAGAAAATCTAAAAATAGAAAAATTTTAAATGAAAAATCCAAAAATTGGAAAATCGAAAAATCGAAAGGTCGAACAATCGAGAAATCGAAAATCTGAGAGTTCTAAATGACTCAAAATCGAAAAATCGAAAACTTATTTATAATAAAAAAAAAAATCTAGAAACTGAACAATCAAAAAATCAAAAGCCGAAAAAATCGAACATTTGAAAAATCTAGAAATCGAAACATCAAAAAATGTAAAAATTGAACCATCGAGAAAGAAACATCAAAAATTGAGAAGTCGCGAAGTTGATAAATAGAAAAATGGAGAAATCAAAATGGTCTAAAATCGAAAACTCGGAAAGTCGAAAATTGGAAAGTTGAAAGATTCGATATTAAAAAAATACGATAAATCTAAAAATTGAACAATCGGTAAATCTAGAAATCAGAACGTTAAAAAAATAAAAACTATCAAATTGAAAGATTAAAATATCGAAGAAACGAAAAACTGAAAAAAATTAAATTTAAAAATCAAAAATTGAAAATTTGGAAATCGGTAAATTGAAGAATTGAAAAACTGAAAAATTCCAAAAATAAAATGAAGAAAAATTGGGAAATCGAAAAATTGAAAAATCTAGAAATCGAAAGTTGAGAATTCGAAATTGTCCAAAATCGATAAATCCAAAAACGAAACAATCGAAAAATTGGAAAACCAAGAAGTCGAAAAATCGAAACATCAAAAAATTGAAAAATGTAAAATTTAAAAAATTTAATTTAAGAATCAAAAACTGCAAATTTTAAATACTGAAAAATCTAGAAACTGAAAATTTCCAAAAATTAAATGCGGAAAAATTGGGAAGTCGAAGAGCCAAAAAAGTCGAACATTTAAAAATCTGCAAATCGAAAAATTCAAAAATCGAGGGATTGAAGCGTCAAAAAACCTAAAAGTAGAAAAATTTTGAATTAAAAATCCAAAAATTGGACAATCGAAACATCGAAAGTTCGAACAATCCAGAAATCGAAAAGTCAAGAAGATTAAAAATCGAAAAACTGAGAGTTCAGAATTACTCAAAATCGAAAAATTTAAAAGTTATTTAAATAAATCGATAAATCTGAAAATTGAACAAAAATAAAAAACCGAGAAATCGAAAACTCCAATATTTAAAAAATCTGAAATTTGAAAATACGGTAAACTGAAGACTTGGAAAACTGAAAAATTCCTAAACTAAAATAAGGAAAAATTCAGAAATTGAAAAATTGAAACATCGAGAATTGAAACATCAAAAATCGAGAACTCGAAAAGTCGCCATGTAGAAAAATGGAGAAATCAAAATAGTCCAAAATGGAAAACTCGGAAAGTTGAAAATTGGAAAGTTGAAAGATTCGAAATTAAAAAAATACAACAAAAAATCGATAAATCTAGAAATCAAAACGTCAAAAAACTGAAAACTGTAAAATTCCAAAAATTGAAAGATTAAAATATCGAAGAAACAAAAAACTGAAAAAAATTAAATTTAAAAATCAAAAATTGAAACATTGGAAAACCGAGGGATCGAAAACTCCAAAATTGAAAAAATCGAAAATTTGGAAATCAGTAAATTAAAGAATTGAAAAACTAAAAAACTGCTACAACTCATTAACTCCGACGAGAACTTCCTCTTATACAAACTCCTGATCAACGTCCAGCGGCACATTTTCGAATACCCTGAGTTCGTGATCAATAAAAGCGACGAGCGAAGCGAGCAGGGGTGGTTTCAGGGTGTTAAAACTATGACCGTGAAGATTCTGACGGACGTTTTGTATTATGAATTGTCGAAGGCGTTTTTTGGGGGCGAGGTGGTGAGTTTTGAGTTCGTCGGGCAACATAACGTGTGGAATGAGAGGGTTAAGGCGATGAAGAAGCGGTCAGGGCGGCGAGGGGTGGATCGAGAGGTGGCGATTAGTTCCCGGGTTGTTCGGGACGCTCCCGAAAAAATCAACTGGAAACTATTTCTGGATTTGTTTTTTTTGAAAGACCCGTGTCGCGTCAAGGTTATTTTTCGACAGAAACCGGGGTGTTTTAATGTGTTTCACGTCTGTCATTGTCTGTACACGAAGTTGGTGATGTTTTTGGAGGAAATTAAGGATGACCCAGAGGAAATTGGCGAGGTTTCAGTAGAAATGCAGTCTGACGATAGTGACAAGAAATTAGTTCCTGAGGAAGAGGAAGACGACGATGTTCCGTCCGACTTCTTCGACGACTTTGCGAACGAGGATTTCTTAGACGGGTTGGATATTCTGGACGACAAGGTAGCTGAAGTTGCGAAAATCACGAAACCCGATTATCACAAAGAGAACGAATCCAACAACAAGAAAGTACTTAAGTCGAGTGACAAAGAACGGTCTTCGTCTGAGAACGAGTCTAAAGACAAAAAGATGTTAAAATAGGGCAAGCAACATAAGGAACGGTCTTCAGTTAAAGATGGGTGTGACGATAATAGAATATTGCAGCCTGGGCATGCGCTCAGGGAACGACTGAGATTACGAGACGAACGACGCGAACGCGCCAGGTCTCGAATACGCTTGAAGTCAAAAAGTCGGTTTGAATCTAGAGATAGGTCTAAGATAAGTTCGAATAGTACAGTCCGGAAGTACATCACGACCACGAGTCGGATTGTTATTAAAACTAGAGTGAGAAGTAGAACACCGTCACCGTGTCGTTCCAAACGGGAAAAGAGAAGTAGAAGTCGAGAGTGTCGTTCCAGAAGACTTCCACACAGGTTTACCACCAGAAATAGAACTAGATCTCCTTCACCGTACACTTCGAAACGACGAAAAAGAAGCAGAAGCCCCGATTATCGCTCCAGAAGGCGCAGTTTGAGCAGAGGTTCCAACAAATCGCCTACTAGAAGGGTCCTTCCACAGAACTCATTGCTGGAAGAAATCAAGAAAAAAATCAACGAGGTTAAACCTCGTATCGCTTTGCCAAGGGTACAACCAGTACCAATGACTCGTGTTCCTCTGATTCCTAACCCACCCCCACTTTACAACAAAAATTTTCTTGTCGCTACTCCAGTTCCCTACCAGCAACGAGTACTAGCACCCATACCGCTAATTCCGCTTCCAGAAACTACGCCTTCAGCTGAAACAACCCAACGAGATACATCTGCGAATCATTCAGTTTTTGCCCATCTCCAGAAAAAAGCTAAAGGTAAGTGAATGAGTTAGGTGGCACCAATCACAAATGTCTTTGTAGTACTTCGGCGCTGTCACGATTTGACTCAATTTCTGAACCACAATCCGCGTCCGACTTGTTTGGCTAAGTCCTTGCCGAAATTGTCTACGTCGCCGAGGTACCAGTCGCCGGTGAAGACAGCGCTGGATCTGTCGTTCACGTTTACGTCACCGCCGGAGCAACCTGTCAAGGATACCTACGCAGAGGCGCTCCACAAGGTTGTGGAACAAGCCGGAATGGTGAAGGAAGTTGGTGTCAAGAGAGACAAAGTCGTGGATAAAGTTACCGAAGTCCTGGAAACGCTGAAGAAGGCCTTGTCTGACGCAGTGCAGAAGGAATGAATTGTGCCATAAAACTTAGTCAATTCAAATTTTTGAAAATCTGTAATTTTCTACGTACTTAGTTCTATCCAACTAAAGACTTATTTTGTTTTTTGTAAATAGTTTGATTCCTATATGAATGTTATATTATTTTTGTATGCCGTATTGTTAATTCTATTGAAAATACATTATTATTTTTATACTTTTTATTGTCTACCAACCTACAGAACGAACATGAAAAGAATGGGTAAAATATACATTTTTCGCTGACGCTTTTAGAGCTGAATGTTCTCGTTGATACTAACTTTCATGTTCAACTTGTGCCGTATTTAAACGGGGTGTAGGAGAAAACTGAAAGATTTAAGTTGATTAGTACAAAAATTTACCATTTACATGTTTCAAGTTTCTTGTTGGCAAAATGTAGGCCCGCCCACCCACCCTATCTCAATTGTGATGAATTTTTCATTCGTTGTCAGATCGAGGGGCTGAGCTTAATTGCAAGCTCCATATTTGTCTACAAGAATTTATCATTTTAAACATGTTTTAAGTTTGTTGTTCTGGAAAGACTACGTAAATTAAGACAAAAGGCAAAATATAAGCCCCGCCCACCCACCCGATCTCAATTGTGATGATTTTTTTTTTAATCGTCGAGCAAAAGTAGCGGAATTTAATTGCAAAATCCTTATTGTTTCTCTACAAGAAATTACCATGCACTATTTACGCGATCCGTGTAACTGAAAAGTCGAAAAATCAATAATTTTTTAATATCGATGAATGGAATAACCGAAAAAGCGAAGTCCGAAAAGTCGAAAAATCCACTGATTCGAAATATCAAATAATCCAAAAATGAAAATATCGATAAACTGAAAAACCCAGACTTTTAGAATTTCCAAACACTGAAATGTTGGAATATTGAAAAATCGAATAAAGAAATTGTAAAACTAAAAGAGTGAATAATCAAAAAATGTGGAATTTAAAAAATCAGAAAATTCAAAAATAGAAATATGGAGGAATTGAAAAATCGAGAAACCGAAATTAAGAAATTGAAAAATCGAAAATAGAAACGTCAAAAAATCTAAAAATTGAAAAAAAAATGAAGGAAATTCGAAATTGTCCAAAAACTGAACAATCGAAAAATTGGAAAACCGAGAAGTCGAAAAATCGAAGCATCAAAAAATTTGAAAAAGTAAAATTTTAATTTAAAAATCAAAAACTGAACATTTGAAATACAGAAAAATCTAGAAACTGAAAATTTCGAAGTCGAAAGGCCGAAAAAGTCGAACATTTAAAAAATCTGCAAATCGAAACATCGAAAAAATCAGAAAATCTAAAAATAGAAAAATTTTAAATAAAATTGGAAAATCGAAACATCGAAAGGTCGAACAATCGAGAAATCAAAAAACTGAGTTCAAAATCGAAAACTTATTTATTATAAAAAAAAATATAAATCTAGAAACTGAATAATCAAAAAATCAAAGGCCGAAAAAGTCGAACAACTGAAAAACCTAGAAATCGAAACAGAAAATTTTAAAACTGAAACACAGAGAAATGAAACATCAAAAATCGAGTACTCGAAAAATTAAAAAGTTAAAAATTGAAAGATTTGAGATTAAAAAAATTGATAAATCTGAAAATTGAACAAAAATAAAAAATCGAGAAAATTTGAAAATACGGTAAACTGAAGAATTGGAAAACAAAAAAATTCCAAAAATAAAATGAGGAAAAATTCGGAAATTGAAGAATTGAAAAATCGGAGCATAAAAAAATTGGAAAATCCGAAAATCGAAAGCCGAAAAAGTCGAACATTTGAACAATCTACAAATACAAACATCGAAAAATGCAAAAATTGAAACATCGAAAAATGAAACATCAAAACTCGAGAACTCGAAAAGTCGCCAAGTTGAAAAATAGAAAACTGGAGAAATCAAAATAGTCCAAAATCGAAAACTCGGAAAGTTGAAAATTGGAAAATTGAAAGATTTCAAATTAAAAAAAAAACGATAAATCTAAAAACTGAACAAAAATAAATGGAACATTTAAAAAATCTACAAATCGAAACATCGAAAAATTCAAAAATCAAGGGATTGAAGCGTCAGAAAATCTAAAAATAGAAAAATTGGAAAATCAAAACATCGATAACTGAGAATTCAAAATTACTCAAAACCCAAAAATCCAAAAGTTATTTATAATAAAAAAAGATAAATCTACAAACTGAACAATCAAAAAATCAAAAGCCGAATAAGTCGAACACTTGAAAAATCTAGAAATCGAAACAAAAAAATTTAAAACTGAAACACTGAGAAATGAAACATCCAAAATCGATAAATCTGAAAATTGAACGAAAATAAAAATCGAGAAATCAAAAACTCCAAAATTTAAAAATCTGAAATTTGAAAATACGGTAAACTGAAGACTTGGGAAACTGAAAAATTCCAAAAATAAAATGAGGAAAAAATCGGAAATTGAAGAATTGAAAAATCTACAAATCGAAACATCGAGAAAGAAACATCAAAAATCGAAGTTGCGAAGTTGAAAAATAGAAAAATGGAGAAATCTAAATAGTACAAAATCGAAAACTCGGAAAGTTGAAAATTGGAAAGTTGAAATATTCGAAATTAAAAAAATATGATAAATCTAAAAAGTGAACAATCGATAAATCTAGAAATCAAAACGTTAAAACACTAAAAACTATAAAATTGAAAGATTAAAATAAAAAATATCGAAGAAACGAAAAACTGAAAAAAATTGAATTTAAAAATCAAAAATTGAAAAATTGGAAAACCGAGGAATTGAAAACTCCAAAATTTAAAAAATCGAAAATTTGGAAATCGGTAAATTGAAGAATTGAAAAACTGAAAAATTCCAAAAATAAAATGAGGAAAAATTGGGAAATCGAAAAATTGAAAAATCGGAACATCGAAAACGAAAAAGTCGAACAATTGAAAAATTTAGAAATCGAAAGTTGAGAATTCGAAATTGTCCAAAATCGATAAATCCAAAAATGAGACAGTCGAAAAATTGGAAAACCAAGAAGTCGAAAAATCGAAACATCAAAACACTGGAAAATGTAAAATTAAAAAAATTTAATTTAAGCATCAAAAACTGAAAATTTGAAATACTGAAAACTCTAGAAACTGAAAATTTCCAAAAATTAGCAAGTCGAATAGTTGAAAAAGTGAAGATTTAAAAATCTGCAAATCGAAAAATTCATAAATCGAGGGATTGAAGCGTCAAAAATTGGAAAATCGAAACATCTAAAGGTCGAACAATCGAGAAATCGAAAAGTCAGGAAGATCAAAAAACGAAAAACTGAGAGTTCAGAATTACTCAAAATCGAAAAATTTAAAAGTTATTTAAATAAATCGATAAATCTGAAAATTGAACAAAAATAAAAAACCGAGAAATCGAAAACTCCAAAATTTAAAAAATCTGAAATTTGGAAATACGGTAAACTGAAGACTTGGAAAACTGAAAAATTCCAAAAATCAAACAAGGAAAAATTCGGAAATTGAAAAATTGAAACATCGAGAAATGAAACATCAAAAATCGAGAACTCGAAAAGTCGCCATGTAGAAAAATGGAGAAATCAAATTAGTCCAAAATGGAAAACTAGGAAAATTGGAAAGTTGAAAGATTCGAAATTAAAAAAATACAACAAAAAATCGATAAATCTAGAAATCAAAACGTCAAAAAACTGAAAACTGTAAAATTCCAAAAATTGAAAGATTAAAATATCGAAGAAACGAAAAACTGAAAAAAATTAAATTTACAAATCAAAAATTGAAAAATTGGAAAACCGAAGGATCGAAAACTCCAATATTTAAAAAATCGAAAATTTGGAAATCAGTAAATTAAAGAATTGAAAAACTAAAAAACTGCTGCAACTCATTAACTCCGACGAGAACTTCCTCTTATACAAACTCCTGATTAACGTCCAGCGGCACATTTTCGAATACCCCGAGTTCGTGATCAATAAAAATGACGAGCGAAGCGAGCAGGGGTGGTTTCAGGGTGTTAAAACTATGACCGTGAAGATTCTGACGGACGTTTTGGACTATAAATTGTCGAAGGCGGTTTTTGGGGGTGAGGTGGTGAGTTTTGAGTTCGTCGGGCAACATAATGTGTGGAATGAGAGGGTTAAAGCGATGAAGAAGCGGTCAGGGCGGCGAGGGGTGGATCGAGAGGTGGCGATTAGTTCCCGGGTTGTTCGGGACTCTCCCGAAAAAATCAACTGGAAACTGTTTCTGGATTTGTTTTTTTTGAAAGACCCGTGTCGCGTCAAGGTTATTTTTCGACAGAAACCGGGGTGTTTTAATGTGTTTCACGTCTGTCATTTTCTGTACACGAAGTTGGTGATGTTCTTGGAGGAAACTAAAGGTGACCCAGAGGAAATTGGCGAGGTTTCACTAGAAATGCAGTGTGACGATAGTGACAAGAAATTAGTTCCTGAGGAAGAGGAAGACGACGATGTTCCGTCCGACTTCTTCGACGACTTTGCGAACGAGGATTTCTTAGACGGGTTGGACATTCTGGACGACAAGGTAGCTGAAGTTGCGAAAATCACGAAACCCGATTATCACAAAGAGAACGAATCCAACAACAAGAAAGTACTTAAGTCGAGTGACAAAGAACGGTCTTCGTCTGAGAACGATTCTAAAGACAAAAAGATGTTAAAATCGGGCAAGCAACATAAGGAACGGTCTTCAGTTAAAGATGGGTGTGACGATGATAGAATATTGCAGCCTGGCCATGCGCTCAGGGAACGACTGAGATTACGAGACGAACGACGCGAACGTGCTAGGTCTCGAATACGCTTGAAGTCAAAAAGTCGGTTTGAATCTAGAGATAGATCTAAGATAAGTTCGAATAGTACAGTCCGGAAGTACATCACGACCACGAGTCGGATTGTTATTAAAACTAGAGTCAGAAGTAGAACACCGTCACCGTGTCGTTCCAAACGGGAAAAAAGAAGTAGAAGTCGAGAGTGTCGTTCCAGAAGACTTCCACACAGGTTTACCACCAGAAATAGAACTAGGTCTCCTTCACCGTACACTTCGAAACGACGAAAAAGAAGCAGAAGCCCCGATTATCGCTCCAGAAGGCGCAGTTTGAGCAGAGGTTCCAACAAATCGCCTACTAGAAGGGTCCTTCCACAGAACTCCTTGCTGGAAGAAATCAAGAAAAAAATCAACGAGGTTAA